ATTTAACTAAATTTATGAAAATATTAGCCTGTTATCAGATTGCCTCTACAGTAAAACTTGGAGAGAGTGGAATATCATTAGGTGCCATTCAGGATGTGATGCAGTGCACATGTAACAAGGAACATGCTGACAGGAGAAATTGGCAGAGTGATGGAGATGTGTTTTTGATCAAGCTGTTCTGCTGCTGCCGCAGAGGTCAAGGACCTGCATATTCTTTCTAGCAGCAATGCCAGGATCAGGAAGTCTGGCTGTATAGAATTACAAATCTTCTGGCATGTAAAATAGTATATACATTTCAACTTGACTTCTTTTGTTTGAGCATTACAAATTTTTCACGCTTGGGTATTGTAACCTGATATATACATGGCATAATATCTTTATCTTTGACTACTATTGCAAACCTGTATAACGTTACACTATTTTAATGAAACCAAATCATAAATTATAACCTTCTCGCCTCACTTAAATTCAAACCACAAAAGCTATTAACTGTAAACATAGTTTTGTCACCTTGTATGATCACATGTGGCCATGTAGACTGCTTTTAAAATCATTAATACAGTCATTCATTTTAGAGGGAATTGCAGGGTAGATGTCAAATTGCAAGGTTAACTGTGCCTTTTGACATCTCCATAGCTTGAATAATGCAGAATTGCATCTATAACTTACAAGAAAAAATGTATTTCTGCTTCTAACAAGTATAGTAGAGCAATGAAAAAGGGACTTGAGAACTAGAACAAAATTTTCAGCTTATTGCTTTTTCATGGCTCTTATGTAACAAGGAGATGGCGAGGTTCATCACCTCCGATTGTAAAATGGGCAGAACTACTATTGTTATACTTGCGTTAGACAGATATGTAGAGAAAAAAAAAGCGCATCTTTAGAAATGTTTCATATTGTTAGCATGGCTAAAGTAAAATGATTTCATTGAATTTAAACTTTATTACACAATTTTTACAGGCAGGTGATAGAATTGCTAGTTATCCCAATGGAGAAGATGAACTGAATGTTCCATAACAAATGTTCTCATTATTCTCTTACAGGTACTCTTGGCAAGTTGTTTTGTGCCAGTGTATGCTGGTTTTAATGCTGTGGAATATAAAGGCAAGGTAATGAAAATACATCAGTTATTTAATTCAACAGTTTTATCATATAATTCTACAGTACTTCATAGTGATTTCATTTGACAAAAACAAAGATGTGGTAAAGCCCGCACTGCATGATATTTGTCTCTTATAGAATAATAGCTCATTAAGAGTTCTCTGCAGGCAGGAGAGCCTTGAGATTCACATAGTTTGGTAACACACAGTGGTTAAATGGTTATTAATTGCCTTGGATCTTGGCTTCAACTCCCAAGAATATTATAAGATAAAATGACACTGCGTATATTCATGTATTGTGAGAACTTCTATTTCATGTGGAAATGTTCTTGGATGAAGAATATACATTAATATAGTTCTACCCAGAGACTACCCTAGAAGCAATGACTAGTTTGTTTAGTTCAGCAGCTTGACAGATCTGGCCTTCTGTAGAGCACCTGCCCACATTGGGACCCGCTTGAGGGCGTGATCGTTTATCACTGAAGTAGAGACTATTTATTTAGGTCAAGGTCAAACTGTGTTTCCTTTAAGTACCCTAATTGTGCAAGGGAAATAAAACGAAAAATACATTTTCTTGCACATGATCGGGCGAACATATTTTTTATCTTTTTATAAAACGTGGAAAACCTTTTACATTGCAAAGTAAACCTTCACTTTGATAAGCAAACAGACTCAACTCCTTTAGTTAATCAGTCCTTATGCATTTGGGAGTGTCTATGATAGTGGTAGATAATACAAGGTGTGATCAAAAAATATGGTAGATGTTTAAATAAAGACAATTTCATTACAGTGAAAGACACATTGTCATTAATCCCCTTCAAAATACTCCCCCTCGCTTTGAACACACTTATCCCATCGTTCTTGATACTTTCTGAAGCAGTTCTGAAAGTCTTCTTTTATGAGTATCTTTAGTTAGGTTGTCATAGCTGCCTTGATGCCCTGAATCAATTCAAAACGTTTACCTTTCATGGCCCTTTTGACTTTGGGGAAGAGCCAGAAATTGCACTATGCAAGATTCAGTAAATAAGGTGGATGAGGACACACCGTAATGGTTTTATTTGACAGAAATTGCCATACCAGAAGCAATGTGTGATTGTTTGTGATCATGATTTACATTACTTTTTAAAACATACCTTGTTTCAACTGTAGCTCATAACCGACTGACTGCATCGAATGAGTTGACACTTGTCACACACTGTTACTAAGGTTCGACTTGCCGCTTTTTGTATTGAACATCCCTGTCTTTCCATTGTATGGCACTCGGAAGAAGCATTCACTGTATTTTTTGATCACACCATGTATATTGGTGCTCTATAAATATGGAAAGTAAATAAAGGTTTTTATCTTTTGACTCATACACATTGGTTCTGAACTCTGTAGAACCACATCTGCAAACCACATGTAGCAATTAGCAGTGCATATCAGTGGATGCATATCATAAGCAAATGCTTCCATTCACTGCAGCTCTCTATATACAGAATAAGTTCACCATAGAGCAGCATTTCTAAAACTGGGGGGTGCCTGTGCAATGGCGGGAGGGTGCATCATGTAGGTGGATGATTCTGCATATCGGGTGGCAAAGCAGGCAAGGTTCATTATGGGAACACATTCAGCATCCAACTATGGTTGAGAGGGCAGCAGTCACGTGACATGGGACTAATCATGGGTTATGTAGCCTTTGCTAAATACCAGGTTTCTTTTTTACAGGTAACAGGGATCACTTTAAAAATCATTTTCATTTTTTTATATTTTTTTACAATTCCGCTTGAATACATTTCTGTCAGGTCTCAATATACAGCAGTAGTATACATTTTTCAAACAAACTCTAGTTTTATCATTAATAAGTTGTCTTTGAGCTTCCATCAGTTTACTTTTTCTAGCGCTGGAAGGCGGGCACGTTTGGCTGATATGGATGAGTAAAGGTGGGGTGAGGGGGAAATGAAAAGTTTAACTGTTGCTTCGAACCACCGTTCTATCAAAAGGAGAACATGGAAATCCTTGCAACTTTTCTAATGCACTAGGTGTTGTGTGCATATCTTTATACCACTATAAGGCTTACATTACTAAACAAATAGAGAATTCTTCTTTTTGCATTGTGAACTTAAATTAAAGTAAACATTGTAAACATGATTTTGGAATAACCAATTGTGTGAGAAATATTTTTAAGCAATGGATTTTTGCTATAGTATTATTGGGTGTTCAAAGTGATTGCAACTTTGCCTTATTAACTAACATTTGATTTGCAAAGTGAATGTACACTTTTAAAGAAAACATTCATGTTGCTAAGTAAACTTCACTGCTTTTAGTCGTTCAACCAATTCAATATTGCATCTTTTTCTGACCAGTTTCATTTTATACATTGTTTGGGGACAGTGATTTAATTTGATAGCTGATTTCAATGTACTTTAATATGTTTTAATTCGAAAGGTAAAATAAGAAAAATGCATTTTATTGAGTTCCCACAGTGCCATATTTACATATTACCTCAGGAATTGCAATTAAAAACTAGGTATAGGTTTTCTTACTCAACCCTTAGTTGACTGTACCCATATTGGGGTCTCAGTCCAAATGCTTTGGAAATTTGTTTGATGGTAGTCTTACTTTAAATTGCTTAAACAAGTATTAAACTCTCAAACTTTTTTTATTAAGGAATACAGATCAGACAAATATACATTGCCTAGCAGATGATCTCTTTAAATTGCTGCCCAAGCATTTAAAGTCATGTTTCTAAACAGCTGGTTCCAACTCTCTCAGCTCAGCTTTCCTGAACTTCTTGTCCAGTACAAGATCACAAGGGAACAGTGCAGTCTCCAGCAGCTGTCTGTCTACTAGCTTGGAGAAGAGGAAAGAGGAGGGTAGAGTAGGGAGCAGAGCAATTTCTTGTCTTGCTGTGTTTGTGGAGACACAGCTTACTAACACACACACACACACACACACAAGGGTGTCTCCATAGGACCCTGCAAGAGAAAGGAGCCACCCTAAAACAGGATATCATGGTCAGTCCTCAGGGGACTAGCTGATTCTGCAGGAAGCTAAAACTTTTAAACATCAAGGAGCAGCATCCATTGTATGTGATTTAATCAGCATTTAAAATGTCTTCATTTTGACTTTAATATCACTTTTAATTTTTAGTATTTTTTATGTATGCTTTTAAACTAGCTATATACATGGCATATAACTTCCTATGAACTTCCTGTTTGAATACATAAACACACACTGTCTCAGGAAGGTCACAGCATTCTATTTACAGCCATCATCACTTCATCAGCTAGAGTTTTCTAATTACTAAATAAAAGAGCAATTACATGTTTCTTCTTTTATTTGAAACATATGTTGCTGAGTTTACACGTTGGATATTTTTATTTGCTGTCCAAACTGTCATTTTAAAGTTAAACCTAAAATTCAAAAATTGCATGCCTGTGGTGAGGTCCTCAGTTTTCAGGATATATATGTTTCCTGTTGCTTGAACACTGCCTTTATACATAATGCTGCTGTTACCTCTGTGGCATTATATTGGCAGGTACTGATTTTCCTGTCTTCACAGTAAAAACCTGAATGTTCTTCAACCTTAGCAATGCTTGATTCTCTAGCCCAGCTAATGTTTGATCTGGTTTTCGCTTGTAGTTTTGTATTCATTATCTATGAGCACAGAAGACTTTCTATTCCTTTAGACAGTTCTGCCTCTATATCAGTAAACATGTACAATGTTTAAAGTGATTGTTTATTTAAAGGGTATTTTCCACCCCCTAAAAAAACAAAAATAGAAATGCAATGTAAATTGGATTTATCCTGCAGCACCTACTGCTGGTGAAATCTGACATTACACCACAAATTGAAAATACGATCTATTCCTAAGAGAATTTTGGTTGTTGGACTTCAAGAAGAACTCCAGGATTTGTTTTAAAGTGTAAGGTGACAAATATTTAACTGTAATGAGGTGTCTTTGGCTCTTTTTATTATTTACTGATTCACTGATGCTGGATATTATAGCTTTCTTTATACGTTTGGCACTGCAAAGGGAGAGCTTCAGCTCTCCTGCATATAAGCTATACTATCCAGCCCTTCTCTCCCCATCGATTCACAAAATGCTTTATATTTTGTGAATAGACAAGGGGAGAGAAGGAATAGACAAGTGACGGTGTGGCTTCTCTGTAGTAGAGCCACATTGTGTCCTGTCCCAGTATAGCAAAAGCTATACTATCTGCCATCAGTGAAAAAGGAAATAATAAAGAAATGGCAGCAATCCTGGTGGTGGCATACACCTCATTACTGTTAACTATTTGTTACCCAGCACATTAAAAAAATATATAAAACTGCAGTCTGTCCATAAATGCCTGACATTTGCTTGCTAAGAGGCTGTGGGAGGTGGGGCTTCAATTAATTATCAAATGCATGAAAGTGATGTTGTATAGAAAATCAGACCTCAAATAAAATTAAAGAGCAATTTAAACAGAGGTGACATGACATTAAGATAACAGCTGTTATAACATCAGCATAGCAATAGGAATACATACTATAGGGTTTTTTTTTTTTTTACTTTAAAAAAACAAACAATTTTTATGTAGTGAGTGCTGCCTTCTCTACTGTTTTATGTGATGCAAGCTTGATTTCTCAAGACTACATATCCCATCATGCATTGCTTCCTGCAAGTTGATTGATGTGACATTGTGGGAAGTTCAGACACTGATTTGTAGCCCAGGCGTAAGCTTAGTTAGAGTATAGACACAAGGAAGGGCACATTTATAGGGCTGAGTGAAATTGTGTCACTGCCTTGGGTTAGTATATGGGCATCTTAAAATAATATGTTTACAGACTTTTAGACTGATATGGTTATTAGGAGTAAGATATAACTTATGCAAATTCAAAATGGAGATACATATTTATTTTTCGTTTTTGATCATAGATACCCTTCATTTAGTGAGCTGCTGTTGGAAACATTATCTTAAAGGGTAATTCCACTTCCCTAGGCAAATTTGGAAAAGTGAAATTACTCCCTCCAATCACCTGTG